AATTCCAAACAACTTTTCTCTATAACATTTTGCTGAATTTTCCAAAATAAGGGTACTTTACAGTACAGCTTTAATATTGTTTGAGCTACCCTGTATGCTGTTTGACTTGCAACCATTCTAAGTGCACCTAATATGATTATCAGTCATGCACCAACTTTTGGCCTTGTTTGTATTTGGGTTGTGCTATTACTAAAAAAAATCCCCATATGTTGCACACTTAAAAAATCACACTGTATATTAACAAATATGAGCATAAATTACACACAAAAAAAATATTTACAATATCTAAAACCAAAAAAACAAAACTCTACTGCAAATATTTTGCTATCTGCCTCCCCTCCATGACCAGATCCACTACAAAGTACACAAATACAGTTTAATTTTCTTTACAAAATTAGGAACCTCGAGGTCCTTGAGATAATCGGGAATACCGTTGTACAGGCTATAGACATTATTTATAAGTAAAGCTTCTCTCGAACATGCTCGTAGTGTGCTGCGGTGGCGTTATCATCCCCCTGAACCTTAAATTGAGACTATGGACATCTGTTCTAAATTTTATTCTGTTCGCTAGATAAGGCGGTGTTTGTGACTTTATTATTTTGTGGAAGAAAACCAACGAATGAAATTGTCTACGCTTTTTCATATCTAGCCAATTAGTTTCCTTCAGTTTGTATGTTATGGGTTGAAACTTTTTTATGCCATGAATAAATCTGAGACAAGACTTTTGAACTTTCTGTACCCTATTTTGGTCGTTCTTATCAAGACATGACCCATGTACTACATCACAAAAGTTGAAATGACTCAGAACTAGGGTATCTGTAAGTAGAGTTTTTTTGTTTTATGGAGAGCGAGTGCCTATGGGGATATAAAAGCTTTAATGACATGTATGCTTTTCGTATATTTAAATTTATATGTTCTCTAAACCTCAAGTCTGTGTCCAGTAGTAAGCCTAGATCTCGGGCACAGTCCGAGACCGGTAGGGGGTTGTTTTGGATAGATATATTCATCTAAGCCTGCCATACGTCCCGTATTATACGGGACAGTCCCTTATTTCAAGATCCATGTCCCGCGTCCCCCCAAATTTGTTGTCGGGACGCGTAAATGTCCCGTATTCTCGATATTACAAAAAGCGTAAAATAATTCGCCCCGTCTCATTACCAGTCTCTGTGGTGGCATAAATAAATCGATTTTTGCGCCTCATCTCTAGTCTTAGCAAATCGCAACGTGGTGGTTATTCGTCAGCATTTGACATTTGACAGTTTAGAATTTGGCGAGTTTGGCCCAAGGACCATACATACCACTAAGGATTGCTTATCGGCCTTGTTTTGGGTAGTCCCCACCATATTGGTGTATCACCATTGCCGACGTCATCAACTAAGTCGTCAGTGACGTCAGCTGTTTGCGCCAGCAGTCGTCGTTTAGAATTTAAATTTATGATGAAAAATGTTATTTTATTTTGATCAAGCATAATAGGCAAATAGAAAGATGGAATCATAACCTGTGGTGCAAACAGCCTACGTCAAGGCGAGAAACGACATGCTACCTACGTCACAAATGGTGATTTAGTGGGGTAGGGGGGCTTCGGATTTGTTGTACACAGGCCTTATGAGGATAGGCTATCCTGTAGTAGTAGTGTGTATTATTCGTGGGTTCGTTCTACGGGTGTGGTTCCGAAAAAAAAAATTAGCCTGCGGTGCTATTTTTTCTATAAATACATGACACAATTGCTTCATAAAAATGTCCCGTTTTTTTATCAGAATAATATGGTAGCCTTATTCATCTCCCTCTTCATGCTGCTGGGATCCTAGAAAACCTCACTTTATCCCTTTCAGCTCTATTGGAACACCAAAAAACGCTACAAAACGAAGGCATCTTCACAAATAAACCTTCAAATATTCTCGGTTTGCATTGAAAATAACACTGTCAGGTAATGTTTGGCTTGTGTCTGCCCCTCAGTTGAAATGGCGGATCGGTTATGACGTCAACCTGGAATGCCTAATAATTGTATTCCTTTCACACCCAAAAGGATCTCCGGAACAGCTTCAGGGTGTTACGCGCTTATTCCTTTCGAAAAGTAGTTGCTGCACCACGCATCTATTCCTTTCAAATCGGGAGCGACTAGCACCGGAACGAGTAGCCCGAGTGTTCTAAACTCTTGAAAGGAATTCGCAATTTGTGTGGCTTAGTTTTCCTCCAGATTTCTTTATGAGTACATCTAAGAATAGTCCAAGAAACGGGAATTTGAAATGAGGGTTTACCTCAACATAATTAGAAGTTACCTTTTTTTTGGGGGGATCGATCCATTTTAATATGCTAAATAACATATTAAGTTTGCGACCTTGTACTTCCATAGGGTTTTCAGTTAGGGGTGGTTTTTAGGGATAATTTGAGGTTTATTGAACGCTGTTCAAAGGGATGGTCCAATAACAAAAAGTTTAAAATGATTGTTGTAGCTGAAGTTTTTTGCTATATAAAACTCCGCGACAGCACCCCTTCATCTTCTATAGTTTTTTTTCTGCAGCGTCTTGAATAGTACCATGTTTTTGTTCAAGGTCACTGAATCAACGTTTCGCCTGTTTGCGTGCATTTGAAGCAGCAGCGGCCGAATGCATAATCCGATTTCAATTTTTCAAACACCACATTATTGCTAATGAAATGCACTCTCCAATGCTTTTGGTTCGAATTTTTTGGTTGAAAATTAAGCGCGCACGGACTTGCCTTATGTGCGAGGAAGTTGTAAATTGCATCGAAAACTACCCCTTTCTTGCATTCACTGTAATTTCTAAACGGGGCCAAATATTTGGTGACAATTTCCGACAATCGGCCGCCCAGTTATTCCTCTCATAATGCCCCAGCGCATTTTTTTTTTCGTTAATTACTCAATGACTTATTGACCTGAACAAGTCGCGCGGAATTTTTCAAAAAATCAGAAAAAAATTAAAATTGTTGCACAACGCTGAAATTTGGTATGATGGCTTTTTTAATGTTTGTATGAATATACTGCAATTTTAATTGCTTCACACGACTGCTGCAACAATTAGAATTGCAGTATATTCCTGAGAACAATAAATAAAGCCATCGTACCAAATTTCAGCGCTGTGCGACAATTTTAATTTTTTTTGACTTTTTGCAAAACTCCGCGCGACGTGTTCAGGCCAATAAGTCATTGAGTAATTAACGAAAAAAAATCCGCTGGGTCATTATGAGAGGAATAAATGGGCTGCCGATTGTCGAAAACTGTCACCAAATATTTGGCCCCGTTTAGAAATTACAGTGAGTGCAAGAAAGGGGTAGTTTTCGATGCAATTTACAACTTCCTCTCACATTAGGCAAGTCCGTGCTCGCTTAATTTTGAAGCAAAAAATTCGAACAAAAAAACATTGGAGAGTGCATGGCATGTCATTAGCAATAATATGCTGTTTGAAAAATTGAAATCGGATTATGCATTCAGCCGCTACTGCAACAAATGCGCGCGAACAGGCGAAACGTTGATTCAGTGACCTTGAACAAAAACATGCTACTATTCAAAACGCTGCAGAAGAAAATATATAAAAGATACAGGGGTGCTGTCGCTGAGTTTTTTATAGCAAAAAACTTCAGCTACAACAATCATTTGAAAGTTTTTGCCATTGGACCATCCCTTTGAGCAGCGTTCTCCATAAATCACAAATCATCCCTAAAAACCACCCCTAACTAAAAACCCTATGGAAGTACAAGGTCGCAAACTTAATATGTTATTTAGCACATAAAAATGGACCGATCCCCCCCAAAAAATGTTAACTTCTAATTATGTTGAGGTAAACTTCCTTCATTGCTTGGCCTAGAAGGCGATTTCTTGATTTTTCTCCTTTGTCATTGTAAACTGTATGCTAGGATGTTCAGGTGGCCTAGGAACTGGTTAAGCTTCTCTTCCCCATGACTCCAAACCACAAAGTGGCACAAAGGTATCATCTACATATCGAATACGTACCGTTAGTTTTTAATCAAAAGGTTCGATGAACTTCCACTCGAAATCTTCTATGAAGTTGGCTATGACCGGACTTTCTATAGCTACACCGTCCGTATGCTCGTAGAAATCGCCGTTCCACAGGGAGTAACTACCAGTGAGACATGTACGGAAACGCTCAACTATATCATTGGGAAAGGTATACTTGATATCAAGTCAAGAGATTCCGTCAATGACAATTTCGTGAATAGAGACACGACGTCACAGCTGACCAGGATATCCTTAGGTTAGAGAATAATATCCCTAATTTTCTGGACGGAGTGAGTGGAGTCTTTGACGAAAGAGCTAGTTTTTCCAATATGCGGTTAAAGAAAAAGAAGCGATGCAAGATATTTCGCTAGGTTGTACGTTGGTGCTCCAGGTGTACTCACTATAGGTCTTAGCGGGACTTCAGGTTTGTCAATTTTGGGTAGTATGTAGAGTCGTGGTGGAACCGCTTCCGTTTTTATGATGCCTTTCCCAACCGTGTCTATTAGGGTAGATGACCTGATCAGGTTGTTGGTGTTCCAGAGTATGGCTTGGGTGGGATCCTTCTTTAGCTTTCGTTAGGTAGATGGATCAAGGAGTTCCAGAATTTTCCGGTTGTAGTCTTCAGTTCTTGACATGGCAGTTGCATTGCCCTTATCCGCAGGTAGGATGATCATATCTTCCGCTGAATTCAGGTTCTTAATTGCCATTAGTTCCTTCTTAGAGAGGTAATTGGTTGATGGTCGAGCCTTTCGTAGAATTAGCCGTCTCAATGCGGAATTCTTCTGCTTCCACATCAGGTAGTACTCTTACGAGATCTACCATTCCTAGAAGTTTGTAACAAACCTTTCGTGACACCCTGTAAAGTGAAGATGCTGATTATACAAGGATAAATATAGGCATAATGCCGGGGTCTATTGAAATAATTTATTGATTCTCATTTTTTTTTTTTTGTTATAAAATGGAAACTACAATGTGAGCTAAAGTATTTTTCATGACTAAAGTGTTTTTTTCTTATTATTTACAGGGACAAGTGTACGGGGTAGCATTTGCGATTAGTGGATCAGCCGCTCTTCCTTACTTGTCACAACGAGAATGTACGCAGGGAGGTTACATTTCGAAGTTTATCGACTTTTTCCCACTTGAAGGTAAGTTATAAGTTTAAAAAAATTTGAATAAATATTATAACTCACTAATTGAACAATTGGCATTTCCTTGCAACTTGCAACCATTATCAAAATTCGGAAAAATGGAAATTTACAGATTTTGAGAATTTTTTATCCAAATAAGAGTGATTAGATTGATAAGTAAATTTTATATAACTATATTTCCATGAAAAGCCAACAATGCGCTTAACTTTATTCACTTTCAATTTGCAGGTGAAAGCTTTAAAGTCTTAGTGTACGTAGCAACTCCGTTAAATCCACATTGGCTAGGAGATGCGGACATTGACGAAATAGCAGATCAAATTATTAATTGTAAGGGAGAAAGCGGACACAATGTAGAATATCTAGTACGACTGGCCAACTTCATGAGACATCATTTTCCTGACAAATGTGATAATCACCTGTATAGTTTAGAAGAAAAAGTAAGTATACTTAATAGGCCTTAAATGTTTAACTATACAGTGTGTCCCAGATTCGCTTCTCTATACAGGGATCTCGACTCCTATTATACCCACAGCAAAGGTTAAATGGGGAAAGTTCTAGACAAAGCTAAGAGAATTCGATAATCGGCTCCAGATTAACGATCGCTCTATTAGATTTGGAAATATCGGCGAAAAGCCGAAAATGACGGATTTAGTTTTTTGCCAGTTAACCCGAAACGGTTGATTTGACAGCTGTCAAAATGTGACATTATTCAGACACTTTTTTAAGACCATTGAGATAGTATGTATGACATGTCTCAATCGTCTTTTGTTATTCCGCAACTTGCCTCAACTTTTATTTTTATTATGGCCGCCATATTGGATTTTTCGATTTTTGGAAAAAGCATAGAATTTCCAGTCTAGTGATGTATCACAAGTGGATAAAAGATTTGAGTATCATCGAGAAATCAAATTTCGTTAAGTTGTCTGGCCAACGATTCTGAAACTAACGCGGCATCGGTAAAGGCCGTTTTACAGCTTGCAAGAAAACTTGAATGCCATTTTTTGCATGCAAAAAAATTGCATTCAAGATTTCTTGCACGTCGTTTTACTTGCGATTTACACCTTGCAATTTGACTTGTTTCTTTCTCTAACCTTAACCATACTTTTTTGTTTTTAATGTTGTGTTGTTGATGTTTGCATTTTCCAAAAATAAAAAAGTGATTATAAGTCGATATAAAAAGAAGAAAGCAATAGCAGCAACTTTAAGCATCATAATGGCTAAAAATTCCCCAGCTTGCACGAAAACCTTCAAGAAAAATGGCACCAAACCGATTGCATGCAATGCCATTGAAGTTTCAAGAATCTTGCAGAAACCAATCAGCTGACTCACTTCTGCGCATGCCCTCGTTCAAGTTTCTTGCATATTGCAGATAGAATTGCAAGCTGTAAAACTGCCTTAAGGGAAATCCAGTTGTTAAAAAATGGCTGTCGGCTGATTTCATTCATAAAATACCTACCCAGCTGCGTGCGGAACTTTTTGGAAGTATAATATCGTACAAGAAAATCGACAATAACCAAACCATCGCCACTGGATATTTCAAAGCAAGTCGATATTTCAAGATGCAAGGATAAAGTTACGGGAACCCTGGCCAGCCAATAGCGAGACGTAAGCCCCATGGCAACCGCATGGTTCCGTGGCAACGGCGATCGTGCCAAAAACTCCATCAATCACGTTCATCCAGGGCGGATGTTTGCCAAATTGACAAAAGCTGATGGTGTCTAGAAAATGTTCACTTTTGATTATAGACAAAATTAGATGTTTTTGTTTAGGATAAAATAATTCATAGTGTTAAGGTTGTCTATTATTAATAGTAAGTTCTCCTCCATTAAAATCATAAACCTGGACACCTCATAAACCTGGACTTCACAGAAATCGTAGTTAATTTAATTAACCATGTGGCCTTCGAAAAACCTAGAAGCGAATAAAATATTGATAATGAAAATCGCGACAGAAACATTTCACTAGCTGTCAACGAAAATCCTAGTGCATCGGTAAGAACTGTAGAACGTGAAATTGGTGTGCCAAAATCAACGGTACAGAGAGTAAAAAAGTTTTTTCCAAGTTATAATGCCGTGGTCTAGTAATACTCGTTCCGTCTACTGCTGCGGTAGTCATCTTCAAAGGCGGTGTGGTAGCGGAAGAAGTGTTCTCATCCGTGTTCCTCCGATGACTGCCATCTTGAAATATCGACTTACATTGAAATATCTAATGGCGGTGATTTGGTCTGTCGATTTTCGTGTACGATATACTTCCAAAAAGTTCCGCACGCACCTGGGTAGGTATTTTATGGATGAAATCAGCCGACAGCCATTTTTTTTACAACTTGATTTCCCTTACTCCGTAGCTTCATAACCGTTGGCCAGACATTAACTTTACGAAGTGTAAGTTTTCCATGACACTCAAATCTTTTATCCATTTGTGATACATCACTAGACTGGAAATTTTATGCTTTTTCCAAAAATCGAAAAATTCAATATGGCGGCCATAAGAAAAATGAAAGTTGAGGCGGGTTGCGGGATAACAAAAGACGATTGAGACCTTTCATGCACGCTATCTCATTGGTCTTAAAAAAGTGTCTGAATAATGTCACAATTTCACAGCTGTCAAATTAACCGTTTCGGGTTAACTGGCAAAAAACGAAATCCACCATTTTCGGTTTTTCGCAGATATTTACAACTCTAATTGAGCGATCGTGAATCTGAAGCCGATTATCGAATGCACTTAGCTTCCTCTAGAACTTTCCCCATTTAACCTTTAACAATAATATTTTCGCTGTTAAGTACATATAGAATTATTGCAGCAAATATGTAATTCCTAGAAGTTTAGAAAAGCTTTTGATAGCTTATCATGTAAGCAGTATGATCTTTCCCTATAACAGCGATTTCACGGAACCGTTTTATCTGAGAAAATTTTATTTTCGGTAAAACATCAAGTTAAGTTTGTAGGTTTAGTATTTTTAATCCGACTTGAAATACTAAAAAAAATGTAGTCGGCATACATGAAACAAATAAAGGATATAGGCATCACATACTTTTTATTTCTTTGAATGATGATAATCATTAGCAAACAACACAACTAAATAATACATGGAATAAAACAGCAGCAAATATTGAATAAATTGGGATGACACTGGTTATAGAAATCGTGTAGTCTAGTCAGTAGGTTTATCTACATCGTTCCCGGGAAGACATAACTAGTCCACCCCAATAATTGAACCTATAGGCAAAGTTTACTATAGGCGCGTGCCGACCTATATTATTATTTTGGGTTACTGTAGCGATATTTCGTCGCTGCTTATATTTTGTACAGGGAAACTTATGAAAATAGAAGAGAGCGACGTGATGTTGAAGTATCCTCGTATAATGCAGTGTTTCAAGTCAGAATAAAAATACTTTACCTTATATTGAAATTTAAAATAAAAATAATTCAAAAGAGATATCGAAATGTAGGTATCTATGCAAGATAAGTATTCTTCAAATAAGTAGGGTGTAATAAGATACATATATGCCAATGATCATGAGTTCAACTTTCTTCTTAAAAATGTAGTGACAGTTCTTTTTATTTCCATTGAAAGTTGAAATAAGTTTGGAGTAAAAGTTTTATTGTCCAGTAGCCTGGAACATTCTGAGACCTTTTTAATCAAGTACCCCGCCTGTAGGTACCAAAGACTCCTTCTCTTTGAAAAATATGTATTTAAAATTGGGGTAAAACATGGTGCGAAATTGAATGACTGACAAAAATTTGGTTCAGCTGCATCAAGGAACTGGCAAGTATAGAATTTTTCAAATGCAAAAACCCATACTCAATATTTTTTCCTGAAAATAAATCAAGGTTTTTTTATAAATTGGAAGCCAAGCCAATGTGTAGTATTTATATCAATGAAATGTGAAATGTTGCCTTTGTTTGTTTTGGTGTGTAGGAGGTTCTCTATTTCTACATCCTGAATACGTCACAACATTATTTGCTTTTTTTTAAATTTATATTTTTGAATTCAGTAATTAAGTCATAAAAACTAGGTACAAAGTAGATTTTTTTTATATAGAGGCAATACAAGTTAGGTAACTTTTTATGTAAGTAACTTGATACTGAATGAATTACAACTATGAACTACTGTATCTACATTAGAATCTGAATTTGTTTTCAAAAATTGTGACGGTAGGGACAAAATCGAGATAAAAATTATCAGTGTAGTGTGGTCAAGTACCTGTACGACCTTATGCCATCTCCTATTTTAAAATGATCAATACTCAAAGATATTATAACCAAAACATTTCCTTATAGCATATATTTGTATATCTGTCTTATTTTAAGGTATTGGACATAGTGAGAACCAAAGAAATGTGCCTCAAGACGTTAATGGGTACAGGAGAAGGATGCATTTCATTCGTACGAAGATCGAGTTCTGCAGGATCAAGCCCCGGTTCGGAACGGCGGAACCGAGGAGAAGTTGAAACATTCGAGCACACTGCCAGAGTTCCCGGAAAGAAATTGCGTTGTCTCAACATTTAATTTACCTATTCATTATTATATAATGCTTTGTTTTGCGTACCTACCTAAATTTGGTTACAAAGTTTTTTGAATTGTTATAGGATAAAATAATTACTAGAGATTTTTGAAAAGGCTATAAAAAGAGATTATGTACCTACCTGTTAGGCAGCATATGTTTATATATTAAACAGCGGCATATTTCTATATTTTCTTTCTATTTCTGTATTTTTTTGCAATAAAGAATTGTGTATATAACATGTATGTATATTATGTTAATGGTGGATGTGAATTCGTTACTTTGATAAAGGATTGGCAAATACAGCATCACAACAAAACAATAACAATTCAGCCAATATAACTGCATGAGGTCAGAGCATGACCTTTTTGACGCATTTATCATTTCTTTTGGCAATGGGCTGCAGTCCATAAAGTTTGTGATAGGGGTGATCCGCAAATCCGACGTACACCTATCGTTTTCCGATGAATTTTTATTTATAAATATCCATTATTGGTATGCTCACCACTCACCATACATTATTATACTATCATTCCAAAGCTAGTTTCTTCGAGCATAACATGCATAATTACCAAAACCTCAGAGGGCATAAGTTCTACTATCGTTGCACATATTGGCAGTGGCCTCTACGGTCTATGGAGAATTCAGTTTTAAGACTTATGGACATTAATTAGATGTGCACCATTGCAGTCATGACGTGTAGATTATGAGGCCTATGATGTATCCTCTCCTGTTGGTTCAGTTCAACAAGCTGGCTCAACCACAGCTTAGCTCAATATCCATATCACCCCTCTCTATTTTGCATTATAGAATAAACAGTGACAGATAACTTAAGAGAAAATGATACATCATAGCCCCGAATATTTAGGGATTGCAAAAACCTGGATTTTTGAATATTTTTATTGTGTTTTTAGGGTTATTGTGATAGTTTTTTCGTTTTTGTAGGGATTTTGAGTTTACTTTTGCACCTGAAAAGCTTCAAAATTGAATTTATAGACCTATCTATTTTACCAGACAAAGAGGAAATAATACAAAAACTTCATTAGATAAAAAAAGACACAGAACGCTCATTGCGCAAGACGAGGTAAAACGTTCCAAATTATTTTAGACTTACGCATAGCAATCCGTTCTTCTTATTTGCACGGGATAAAAAAGGAAGGAGAAAGACCGCGTGTTGTGCAACGTATTTGACAATGAAAATTTCAAAAAACTTTTGAATGTCACTTTGTCAAGCTATGTCAAGTTGAATATCAATCGTACTTTTATTCTTGTCAGACCTCGGGCAATGAAGAAGGACACGGAGATGCCCAGCGTGCAAAACGAACACCTCTCACCTGTACTAGTTAGCCAATAGAAAAGCATTACCTCGTGTTGCGCGCGCATACCAGGTAAAAATAGATAGGTCTAATAAAGCCAATTAAATTCTCTACAAACCTGTTAATTAGGATTTTAATTCAGTTTCAACAGTATTGTACCTGAGAACTACTGAGAAGCTTAAAAATTGAATTTATCGAACATGGAAAATTTTCCAACGACACTGAAACAGTTTTTGACTCACAGCAACTTTAATTTTCATTCGATTTCAACGTCATTCAATCTCAAATTAAAGCCAATTAAATTCTTTAGAAACCTACTATTTAAGAATCCAATTTGTTTTCAACAGTTTTGCACAATGCACCTGAGAAGTATCAAAATTGAATTTTTCTCCGAATGACAGTAAAAGCGGCCTTTTAATGATACTTGACAGGATCAAAAGTTCTATTTTTACTGCCTAAGCAGTAAAAGTGGACTTTTACTGCCTAGGCATTAAAAGTGACAGTGTCACAACGTTCCAGATAATAATTTCACTCAATTTGGTTTTTGAAATTGATAGTGACAATGACAATTGTCAATAGTAATATATCTAACTAAAGTTCATTCCACCAAACGAGATAATAGAGGAAAACAAACAGGCGGAGCTTAAAAATTCAGAGAAGGACTGCAAAAATATGAATTACAACTAATGACATTTATTATTGTCAGGTTGTCATATGAGTCAATAAGTTTAATGTCGTATTTCCTAGTATTTTACAATTATTTAAATAGTGTTTGGTGAATTATTGTTAATTAGTGAGCAATTTAGATTAAAACAATATCAAGTTCAACAAATTCCGCTGAAGAATTCGTTCGGAAATATATTCAGCGAAGAGAAATACAAAACAACCTAGGACGGTCCTGCCTTGGGCGGAGTATAATCCTTCTCTAGCCAATAAAAATCGACTTATCTGTCAGAGTTTGTTTACTGTCACTATCTCGTTTGGTGAAATGAACTTTAGTGCAATGGAAATTATTGATAATTTTTGGGATATTTGCCCGAATGCATTTTTAGTTGAAAAAGAGCACGAGTGCACGAAGTGCACGAGTTAAAAACGCATTAGTGCAAATAGTTAAAAACGCATGAGTGCAAATTTGTCGAAAATTATAAATGTATTTCCATTGCACGAGTTGTATTTAATGAGAGAATAGGGAACTTTACAATTTTTTTTTAATTTTTTTAAATCATTTATTTATGCCAAGAGTATTCCCCGAATATTATTCCCTAAAACTCAATAATAACTTGGTGAGAAAATTTTAAAGTTTCGCGCGTATGAAAAGCATTTCAAACGACTTTAAATGCGCGCGAATCTGGATGACGTCACGTAGTATGATTTTGGATTTTGCGTCACCTTGTCGTCAAACTTTATATCACAAAACATCTTTATATTTTACTTCATTGTATTTAATTTGGTTGACTTCCACATTTTCCACCGTCATTTGTTTTGTTGTTGTTTTGGGTTGCGGCGAGCTGTAAATTTTTAAGTTATAGGTAATGGAAAAAAAAGATTCGGACATACTTACTTTTGCTACTATATACATATCACAAATTACAGATTAGCGGATTGGCCTTTGGAATTTCCTTCTTCGGTCATAATTAATAGGTATATCGTTTTATTTATAATCCTTGCGTTCGATATTTTGCTCAAAGTGTAGAGCGAGCTGAGCGGAGCCGTAATCACGTGACCAGCGAGCGAACGGAGCAGTTGAACGCCGTATAAAAGTACCGGAAATTTTAATAAACGAACGCGAATGAGGCTGCACCGAGTACACTTTTTAAATAAACGAACGGTAAAGTGAAGCTCGGAGAACTCAGACCAAAATAACGAACGCACGGATAATACTGAGCTAATCATTGAATTTAAACTAAGTAAACCAATTCTAATAATGATAAAATTTTAAAAAATTAGAGAAAAACGTAAATAAACACAGCTAACGGGTATTTATTATGTAGAGTTCGAGTAAACGCTCGGAGTTGCTATTTTGTTCTTTTATCCCTGTTCTTCTCCTCATAAGAAAAAAAGACGGAAAATGCTCCGAGCTCTCCGTGTTTCAAGACGAACTCACGGTATGATGGACGGTTGCTGATAGACACTGACAGATCATACTACATGACGTCACGACCAGTACCAGAGCGTTTTTTCCCGCTAGAAATAATTTGAATTTTTCCGCATTTTCAATTCCTTATTGTGGCCTTTTGCGCCAAAAAAAAATTGTTTTTTTCACTGATATAGGTTTTAATTAATGTATTCTTATGATTTATAGTAATATTTTCATGTTTAAATTTTTTGTCAAGTTCCCTATTTCATAAATCAAAAATTTAAATTTTTTGTCAAAAAATGTCAAAGCACCAGTTTTCGCACCAGTTACTATGCAATTATCTGATAATTTGCTCTAGTGCAAATTATCGCGTAATTGCAATCTGGTTGGTTCAAATCAACAATCAAAACATGTCAGTTCATTGTTGAAATACCAGTTTTGGCAGATGTATGAAATTCTCGAATGTTATACCACAAGAGGTTTCAGGATTACCGGATAATACTTTTACCTGACACGAAACGCGTTACGCAGCAACACCACGACTCCGAAGGAGGAGTGGTGTTGCTGATAACGCGTTGAGCGTCAGGTAAAAGTATTAGGTAATCCTGAAACATTGAGTGGTATTCAAAAGGTTATACACCGAACTAAACTTTAATACTTTAAAATTTAAAAAAAAAATTCTATAATAGTAGAGTGGATGGATTAAAACATTCGCTTTAAAAATCGATTTATCTCCCACTTTTTTGTCACAAGCTGAATTTTTTAGGGATGAAAGTACTTGACAAGATAACTCTTATTCCGGAGGTAATACAAAATTGGACTGTGCAAAAGGGCACTATCATCAAAAATTGAGATATTGATACCACCGTATAGAGAAAAAAATACTTTATTATCAGTCCAATACACAATAAGGTCTTTGTAGGGAGTATTTTTTTATAATCATTCAAAAAAAATAATTACCATTAGCTCTTATGGCCGAAAAAAACTTTAAACGTAAATATCTCGGTTTCAAGCATGCAAACATTTGGTTAAAAAACATCTTTTTTAAAAATACCTTTCATTTAACGGAAAACGAAGGCTTAAATGGAAAAAAAAAATTCTTTATAAAAGTTTCGCTTGTGTATTGTCTAGATAACACTGCAAACCACATATTTGTTGCTTCTAAATTAACAAAGATATAACAATAAACAATAAGATATGTCAAGGGTTTATGGGAGAGCAAGATCGGACCGCCGAGTTTCTCGACTCGCTATGCATCTCTCTCAGTGTTGATACGTATGGGATCTCTTTCACTCTCTTACATTATTTTGTATAGGGATTAATAATTTATCCAATTGAAAGCGGAGGGTGTATGAATTAACAATAATTTGCCTTTGAGGAAAATAAAAAATAACAAGATAAATTAATCATAAGTAGATAATCAACACGGGTTTCACTACAAAATTCCGACCATAACCTCAATCTTTCATTCTTGACACGTGGTGGATGCGTCGTCGTTGACACGAAGGTGGATGCGCCGCCATGGCCCCATCTTGTTGACAGATGGCGCCATGGGACCTGCTCCCCCAGGGCTCCGCCCCCCAAAAAGGGGCCCCCGGATTTTAATATGGGTACCAGAAAAAGGGGTGGGGGAAATGTTTTCCCGCCATCTTTTCAACCGTCACCTGTCAAACGTCATCTGTCAAACGTCATCTGTCAAACGTCACCTGTCAAACGTCATCTGTCAAACGTCATGACGTTATAGCGGGAGTTTTGAGTCGGTCCGGGTTCTGTGATGACGTCATAGCGACCTGGGTCACGTCCGTGGAGTCATTTAGAGTACATAGTGCAAAGTTTGATTCAGGGTTC